GTGTGACGTCAGCAGAACTTGGTGTGATGTAACGTACCGTATTACCTTGATAACTATGACTTTCAGTGCAATTTTCTGTACAGAAGTATGCGAAACCAGTGATATTACTGTAGAATCTTCTTTAAAATTACACGTTGAACAAGAATTTCAGTAAACAAAATTTGCATATTTTACAATGAACCGTGGGGTGCTACACAGACAATTGTGACGTTGTGTGTATTGTGTCATATTATGTCATATGACGTAATGTTATAGAATGTCAAGCAGTGTGCATGAAATTGGAGCAGCGCACTGTATTGGACGAGGCATGTTTCGCGTCAGATGGATCGTTCTTGCTCTTTGTCATTATCCTCCTTTGAATATCTTCTGATCCGTATAAACATGACATAAATTTGTTTCATTCTAGCCCTTCCTTGCTCCACTGATGTATGCTACAACAGAAGAGTGGACGAAACATGTGAAGATCTAGAAAACGGCAGATACCGATGTGTTCTCCAGCCAACCTGTGCCACAAAATGGACTCAGTCTTGTAAAAAGGCACTGTCAAAGGAACTATGCAGGTGGGCATACTATTAATACACTTAATGGAATGGGGATATTGGAAATTATCATTTAAACATTTATTGTGGACTTTAAAACTAACTTTAAAACTAACGTAGTAATAAAAGGCAGAACTGTTTATTTATTTTTTTTTTTGGGGGGGGACTTCATCAGTGTCACTGTAGGATCCATAATTTTGCTAATTAGAGGGGTTTGGTGGGATAAAAACAGAAAGATAAATTTCTTAAGCTTTCCTTGGCTAAAGGAAACAGTCATAATATACTGTAATATGTACGGCCAAAGAGATTTATTTTCATCTCTTGGCCTTTCAAAGGAGAAATCTGCTTGGTTTTGTCTCGAATAGCTTCTGTACAATTTTGGGGCGGCAGAAACGAGGGTACCTTCAAAGCTAAATGAAGGATATCCACTGTCCTAACCAATCTTAACATTTTTATAAGATGTCTATATAAAGCAATTAACAAAAAAACTTAAGATTTAAAGTGTGTCGACATTTTTTCAGCGTTCGTTGTCCAGCCAATTGTTCCTCTTCCGCCGGAAAGGTTTTCTCTGATGGCGAAAACTATGCAGCTGTAAGTTGTAAACACAGGTGTACGAAATACGTAGGATTTGGTAGATATTATTTATGTTTGGATAAGTAATAAACCTCTTTATAACTTATTACGGCAAACTTAATATCGGTGTGCTTTTCTTCCTTAAAACTATTCCTCATTCTTAAGTTGATTGCTTGGTTGATAATTTTTTTTACTAATTTATCAATTTATTTATTTTTGCAGGCTTCTTCCGTGTGTCTGTCAGCTATCCATTCAGGTGTTGACCCATTAGCTGAAGGTGGCTTGTTTACCATTCAACACACCGTGGTAGCCGAGATGAACAGCCATGAATATCCCGCCTCCGACAGTAACGGCATCTTGAGTAAGAGGTAAGAAAATGCTTGTCTATACTTTTAAAGAAAAAAAAAAATCAGCAAATGCCGTAGTAACGTGACAGAAAGTCCCCTCATGATGGATAGTCCGCTTCCCATTCATTTGTACAGGGAGGCCTCGTCCTAGATTTTGACCCACTTAGGCCAGGCTAACCCTAACCATTATAACTAAATGGAGGGCGGATTTTCTATTACACGGACCCTCAGTTTAGTTGCATTGGAGTGACGGGAATGGTAGTCCTAGAAATGGGAGTCTGGGGTCCCATTTGATTAGTACAGATTAGGGTTAGTCGTAGTATTTTAGTTACCAAGGAAACACAGAACGTTTTATGACGTTACCATAACGTCACTATACATTTGTTATATAAACGTTATGGTAACGTTATAATAACATTATGTGTTTGATGGTTAGTATATTGGACAATTGTCACCTGAACAAAATAATGGGGAACAATCTACGGTTCCTAGCAGACTACCATTCCTAACACACCTGGACTTTTTCCACTTTTCTACAACATTGTTCATTTATAGGTGTTTGATAGCATTGATGTCCGTGTTTACACACAGCAAGCTGGTTCGCTTTGTCCTATTTGCCGATGTCACATACACTGTGCATGAGTAATGTTTGCTGTGATCAGCTGTGGCATCAGTCACCTGGATGGTTTAAACTTGTTAAAACTGTTCCTTTCATATTATGTGTGTTTGAAGGATTATGGTAACTACAATTTGCCTTATTTATATTCTTCGTTTCCAATTACTCAAGGGCTGCCCCCCCCCCCCCCCCGGGCCTGCCTTGGGGGGCAGGTTGGGCAATATATAACTCTAACTCTCATTTGGGTTGGTCGATAACGTGCCTGAACCCAATTTTATATATATTTTATGGATTGCTTTATTTTTACATTTGTTGTTTTTTCTAATTCCAGGAAACGAACATACCACGGAGATGCTTTCTTATTCGTCTAAACTGGACAATGAACAAACACAGTGGGAAAACAAGAAACACGTTACGACAGGCACTTCAGGGGCATACTGGTACATCCAGATAGACGCTGTCATGGTTCCCTCGATTATATTTAAGGACGCATTGCTATATGTTTTATGGGGTCTTACGTGGTTCTATGATTAACGTATACCATGACACTCAATATTCTTCTATTTTCTTTCTCAGTGTGACTGGCAAAGTATCACGGTCACATTCTGTTATATTACACGGCTTCCCTTTGGTTCAAGCAATTCCATTTTACTAACACAATCTATGTTGAGGGCGGGGTCTACAATGTAGTAGTATCCACTGTGACTGAGTTGCACGCGTGACTTAGGAAACAATCTTTGATGAGCAATGACTTTTTCATTTCGCGAAGCTAAGCATCTATAAGGTATACGTTGACAATTTTACTGTATTGGGAAATAATGACATATCATTTTATTGTTATCTTTTCATGTGGAGGTTGTTTTGGTTTTTTAAATGATTAATTTCTTCTTATGAAACGGTTTACGAACAAAAATAAATTATGTCTCAAACATGCTCTCGAGTTTCGAGTAGTACTTGTGGCAATCGCCACATTTCTGACGCATAGACACGCAGGTACTAACGCACGTACACGTACACACATGCACGCACGCTCAAACACACCCACAAACACACTGAAAGGCTAAATAAAAGGCCGTTTAGCACCAACAAATGTATTAACCTAACCAGATGATATATTATTTAACATCGATTTAACTAAATAACGTTTATAATCGTGGTGTATAAAGGGCAGTTTTAGCAGTTTAACCAGTAGTTGGTTGGTATGAACCACTTATCCAGAACATACTGTATTTGGAAATGGCATTTCGCACAATATAGAATGTTGCTATAAACAAAATAAAGGCCGAGTCCCAAAACACATTTTTTTACTGTCTGCACACAATCTCTGAAATGGAAAGAAAAAAACAGAAAGGGAAAGAGAGAAACAGGTTGACCACTAGGACACTCACAAGATTTGTTTCTTGTCATGATTTTTAAGGGAAATACAGTAAGAACCTATTCTTTCACACTTAAGGAGTGATTTTTTTCATACTCTGGAAGTTTTATCCAGAACATACTGTATTTGGAAATATATATATATATATATATGGGGTAGGGGCGGGGTAGCTTCATTGCACCAAAACGTCCAGATTGAATGTTTCTCCACAGAGGCTCATACGTAGACTTTGTAAACTTTTTAGAAGCCCCTGATATAAGAAGGTTTATATCTTAAAGCACCAAACAAGTATTATTTTATAACCATGAATGTGCACAAGAGTGCTCTTCTACTAAAATAACTGAACTATTCATTGAATATCCAATCACAGTGCAAGCAGCTGTTATAACAGTTTACTTGCTTTTTTTTAGCTCCTGTTCACCATAGTGTCACAGTCAGCAGTAACGCTATGTAGGCTATACAGGTATACAAATTAAAAGAGGGATCACACTTATCACCACAAGCGAGGTAGTTCTAACTGCAACAATTCTAACTTTTGGGAAGGGTCTGCCCCCACACTATTCACCTACGTTGAGAAGGTTTATTACAGCACGTAAAACTTTTACAAAGTTTAACACACAGTTGTTGGACTGTTACTTTCACAAAGTCAGACTTCTTTGTTGAAACGTAACGTTGCCTATGATAATTTATTGAACTGTATCCATGCTACAAGCGATATAATCATTCAAATTACCCTATAATGAGCGGGAACCGACCTTTTCTTTAAGACTGTCTATGGACTCTTTTGTCCAGAATTTTTATTCATATCTACAGAAAGCCCCCACCCCTCGAACCGATTCTTTTCTTCTCTACTTTCTACTCTCGTATCATTTTTTTATTCCATCCTTTCAGACAGCCCCACTTTCCCGTTTTCTTACGGAGCACCTTGTACAACTCGGTCAATCAAAATTACCTGAAATGTAGGTAGGACACACCTTGGAGATAAGGGAAACTTCGCGAAAATTCCAAGATTTGTTTGTGGGATGTTAAATTCTAAGGCAGTGTCTATGCCCTTAACATCAGTAGATCTATAAAAAAAAGTTTAGCAGCTCTGTCATGCATAGCATATCTCCAAAACATTGACAAGTGATGCATGTTTCATTCAACTGTTGGAGCCATATGGCGTGCGTGTTTGCAAATTTACAAAGAACCGGTTTCATTTTGAATAGTTTGACCCAAGGTCGTATGACTGGTGTTTGCGTTTTTTTTCAACGGAATGGCACATGTTGAAATAGTCAATGTCCAAATAGCCAATAACGTCAAGATGTAATGTATAATGCAGGGGCTTTCGTAATTAACCGTAATCTAAATTCTGCCAATTTAAGATAATGCGGGTTAAATGTTTATTATATCAAATATTCCCAATATACAAACATGAACACACACGATATGTGTGTATAAGCATTTTCAAACATTCATTGATACGTGTAAAAGAATTGTCCAAATAATTACATACGGTGGTTGGTAAAATACAAGCTTCTGTCCACACAAGATGTTGCACTTGGTGACAGTCAGGTACATAAGGGAGGCCGGGGTACGTGTTCTCTTCAATCTGTCATCGCATCGGGCTCTTCAGAAAAACTTCCTGTCGTTGATTCCAATAGGGAGAAAGATGACCAAGTTTTTAGTGATCTGCCTTCTGATTCAGATTTTCTGGTAAGCAATTCCTGTTTTCATTTTATACTTCTGTGCTTACTGCTCGCGGGGTTTGAGACAGTCAAAATGCACAGGACGTTTTGTTTTTTAAGTATGTCATGTGTGTTTTGCCTCTCGGTTTAATTTACACGAATGGCAAGTAAATTTTGGTCAAAAGTTTGGGTTTGGAGATATTTTCTATTTCGGAAAAGTCAAATGTCAAAAGCGCTGAAAACAGTAAAGCATACAGTTCAGTTGCTTTGAAAGCGAAACTACTCCGTTAAGCGAAACTTCCGTCTGTTAAAATCTGACAGACACAATTTCCATTCCCTACTTAAATTGTATACTTCTATAAGATTTTATAAAAAATATATGATGTATATAAATTCAGAGATATAATATTTTTTAACATTCACCCCGGTGGCAGGCTTACAGAGTGCAATGAAACCAAAATCCATTTAAGGCTTATCATTAACTCCTTTTAGTCGATGATAAGCATTGAATGAAAACACAATAAGAATATTCTTTTTATGTGTCTAATTGGTAGGTAATTGATATAAAAAACTTTTATGAAATTAAACTGTACACATACAGGTTTTAGTCTCTTCTAACCCTTAGTAGGATGAGCTTTATTTTTAAACGTGGGACGCAGATAATAATAATAATAATAATAATAATAATAATAATAATAATAATAATATGTATTATTATTATTATTATTATTATTATTATTATTATTTATAGAAAGATGGTACTTAGATGACTGGATATTTCATGCCACTCCTGTACGGACATGTTTAGCTAGACATTTTTTCTTCAGTTTAGCGCAGTGTTTCTTGTACATCTATATCATTATTCGGTCGTGTAAACCAAAGTGATACAAGATCGAATACATTTTTGTGGCAACAATGATTATACCATTGCAGGAGACAAACTGAAAACAAGTCTGATCATGAAAGGCTCTTATTACTTGACGTGGGTCGCATCACTTTTTTACTGCAGGTGAAACGCAAGACGGTGACTTCAACTTACAATATTAAAGTCATGTTACAGCGTTCTTTTAAGATTTTTTCCTTCAGTCATTTATTTTTCAAACATTCAAACATCAACCTTAATATTTTGGTTACACATTTTCCGAAACTTGCCGTTTTTTCTTTTACTGGGGTGTTTGTAAATATGACAATTTCTATATAGCAACCGTCTTTGTGCTTCCCTATTATAAGTCTTTTTTCCTTTGGATTGTGCGAATCTTTTCTGTTTCGCACTAATGTGAGAGACTGCCAACTTTATAAACTTGCTTCTACGCAAGGAAGTCACCCAAACGAAGTTCCGGCACAAAATGACAGAAGTTAACCGGGTTAATGTTGGTGAGTACATAAAATGGAAAACAACTGTTTTGCCCCCCCCCCCAAAAAAAAAAAAAAAAAAAAAAATCAATACTTACCGATGGTTAATGAATCCATCCCGACATTCAAAGTTAGTCCGTGTTGTTTGTTTAAAAGTTTTTTTTCTTTTCATAATCACTTAATAGGTTATTCGGAGGTATAAACATATATAAATCTACGTGGCTTGACGGCAAACACAGATTCCAGAATATTTGCGATAACCGCTTTGTTGGTGTTAAAATAGAATTTATTATATTTCTATGATTTGTTTAAAATGTATTAATTATGAGATATGAATCTCATAGGAACAGGTACCATCCCTATAACATTTGTGAAAAGGGTTGCATCCCCGTTACGTACTTAGATGACCAGGCCATATCTTTAATATAATTCAGTCTTTATTTGCATACTGGATCTCTCCCATCTACACCCGTAACATTTCTGCCCTTTTGAATTTGTTCATCAACAGTAAACAATCTTCCAATTAACTGCACGCAAAAGTTGCCTGGGGAACTGGCCCGTTGTCGAATATCAAAAAATTCTTTATTTGACAAGTCGAAGGGTGGCCGGCCGAAAGACTGACTCCTTGGTTCTGCAGCACACAAAGTAAGAGGAATTTAATTAAACACGCGAAAAAAATTATTAAAGAAATTAGCCTAAATTTTGATACAAATGTTTCTCTTTCGTTGTCTGATATTAACTCTGCACCTATGTAATTCAAACGATAAAAATAGTTAATGTTTACCATCTAAACTCCAAACTTAACCAAAAGCCTTCTTCATACTTAAAACCCTCAAAGAAAATTAATTTAAAAAGCTGGACTACAATCTCTCGGGTTAACTTCACTGTTTGGCACGTGTCATATCACATTAATCATCAATCAGTTCAGGTTAGCTTTACCGCTGAACCGTCATTTCATACCTTCGACGACCGCAGTTAATGAGATGCCGCGAACATGCGCAGATACCCCCCTCTGCTATTGTTAGAATGAAAGTTTGGAAAGAGAGGGATATCGAGACGAAAATAACCCTGTGATTTTCATTACGACAACCTAGAATTTATTTTCAACTTATTCACATTAAGAGTGCATCATTACAGGGTTACCACTTAATATGGAATATTATTTTTTGGCGAGTAAATTTTCTACAAAATATATAATTTCTCTCTAACTACTTTAAATCCAAAGCTGAGGTGTCACTCCATGTGTAGCCAGGTGTGTTACCTAATTACCACACAACTCTCGAAACAATTGATGCATGCAGTTGCATGTTCTGTGGTCAGAAATGTGAGGGGTGGTCTTTTCGGCAATTTCTGCCCTTGTATAAAAACGCATGGGTTTGGTCAATCTTTGGAGTGTGTTTAGAGAAGCAACAAAGGGATCGCTCTGAAACTTGACAGGTACCTTAGTGAAGATATGGTTCGACAGCTAAGCAACGCAGCTTACTATGGGATTCTTGCTCTCAGAGAAAATGGCCAGAAACGGACAGCCATTGCCAGGTAATTCAACATTTATCAGGAACCGTTTGTGAAGTCCTCCAAAGAAATGCTGCAACAGGGGCACCTACTCCAATACCTCGACCAGGGTGTCCGCGTATCACACCAAGAAGACAGGATCGCCTTCTCCTTAGTGGACGCCGTGCTGGTCGTACAAAGACAACCAGTGTCCTCAGAAAAGAGAGGCAGAATGTCATTCAAACGCCCGTTTCAAGGTCCCACGTGAACAAGAGATTTCTGCAAGCCGGTTATTTTGCACGAAGGCCAGTAGGGAAACCACTGTTAACAGCAGGTCATATACAGCGACGTCTGCAATGGGCTGGGGACCACGTGCGTTTGCAGCCAAAACACTGGAATCACGTCGTTTTCAGTGATGAGGCCAGATATGGATTTTTTAGGGTTGATCGTCGAATCCGTGTCCACCGACGTGTACGAGGGGCATAAAACAATGATTGTGTACTGCCTAGGGTGCAAGCAGGGGATGGTAACGTCTCTGTTTGGGGAGCATTTCATGTCGGTGCCCAGAACCAGTTGGTTTTTCTAGGAGGCAACCTCATCCAGGATTCCTACAGAGACATTCTACAGCAAACAATGCTTCGATTGGTAAGAGTCATCTTCAGGAACAACTTTGTGTACCAAGACGACTGCGAAACCCCACATCGAGGCCGCAGAATCACTGTTTTTCTTCAAAACCAATGGGTTCAGCAACTGCCCTGGCCTGCAAACTCTCCAGATATGAACCCAATTGAAAATCTGTGGGCGGAAGTAACTCACAGAATTAATAGCTATGGTCCTCGGCCGGTAAATAGTGATGAACTGCGACAGGCAAATATCACTGCGTGGAATGATATCCCCACCCAAACTCTAAAAAACGTGTCACGGGGTATGCCATGTAGGATGAGGGCGCTGCAAGCGGCTGCTGGAGGTCATACCCGCAATTACTGACTTTTCATGATTTACTGTAGTGAGTTCTTTGACTGTGTAACATATCACTGTCCGGAGGCTATCATTTTCTTTAATATCTTATCTTAAAGTTTATACTGACATCAAGCTGTTGATATGGTTTTCTGGGTGTGTTCCTTTCTTTTGAATGGCATCTTATGTCAGATTTGATATTATTGACCAAAATATATCACAACAGAAGACTGTATGTTATTATCACTCAGTGACATACTTTTTTAATGACTCAAGCAAAATAAAGATTTAATCAGCACTCAAAAATAACAATGATAAAAATATTCCATATTAAGTAGTAACCCTGTATTTATTGCATTCAAGAAAGTTTCAGGGTTATTCCTTTTTATTTTGACAATATAACCGTTTATACCGGACTTTCTGACCATCCCGTTTTTTATCCGTCTGTTTTTGTTGCTTCAATTTTGTCTCGTTAAAAACATATCAGGAAGACCACACCTGCCCCGAATTTTCATCCTGTCACATTGTTCTCATTTTTTAATTAACTATTCAGGTACTGCCATGGAGGGGCTATAAAGCGACAAGCACGTTCTGTTCCAGCTCCAATACAAGGTAAGGGTATCAGTAGCTTAATGCCAGTGGTCATGGCACCGTAGATTAACTCAAATATAGAAGTAGACCCGTCTATTGGTCTTTATGGATCTGTTCTATCCGCTATTCACTAGAAAAGCTCTCCGAGAGCGCAGACCTCCGCCAAGGCAGAAAAGTCTCCACCCAATGCCGTTTCACCCCTAAATTTTCATTCTATAATGATTTAGTTTTTTGATTTTTGATTATTGATTGATTAATGATCGGGATCACCACCAAAAACTAATCATCTGACCCTGGCCCACTTCTGACAGTTCCAGAAAATTTCATCAAAATCGGTCCATAATATAGTTTTTTTTTATTTTTGATTATTGATTATTGATTGATTATTGATCCTGATCACCACAAAAAACTAATCATCTGTTCATTGGCCCACTTCTGACCTTTCCTGGAAATTTCATCAAAATTGGTCAATAACTTTTTCTTTAATGTTGCTAACAGACAGACAGACAGACAGACAGATAGACAGACAGACAAACTAACGGGACCAAAAACATAACCTCCTTGGCGGAGGTAACAAGAGGGTGCTGGCCGCTATACCACCTAGCGGTCAGTGAGTATCAACATCTACTCACTTTAGTCTGATGAAATCCTTCGCCCAGTTTGGACTTAAGCTAACGGTATGAAAATATTTCAGCTTGTCTTTGATAATTTTTATTTATGATAGACGTGTCTAGTTTTTAAAGAAAGACGTCTTCTTCTGGAATTTGCTAGCACCTAACGATTTGAATATGTTAGTCATATGGTTGCACTGGTAATTGTTCATGACAATTCCAAGCGCCACATATGCCGTTGCGTTTGTTATATGCTCTTCCAAGAAACATAAAAGTTTTTCGACCAGCACAGACCCATAAAGACCAAATAAATGGCGAGAAAAAGTATTTATCAGGTTTTAAATATATGCCAGTATAATAACAACATGATAACATTGTGCAATCGAATTGTTGTGAGTTGAAATAAACAGAGATCACCATTATTATGTATCGTGTATCAACTACTGGACTCATGCAGCTGTTATAGAAATGCACGGGTATATAATCCAGAGAAAGTTGCTAAAACATGTAGTACCTTTTAGTAGAATACAAATATCCACAGGTATGTAATTTTTCTTTCGCTGCACGCTTTGACAAGTTAATTATAGTAGACGCTAAAGCGAACAGACAAAATAAATTAAAACGCTCTAAGATATGCATTCTTAAAAACAAGTCAATATTTTTCTGTTGAATTTTCAGTAAGAAAACATCACAGCCGGTGCTGATTTATTTGTCTTCTATTATTATCAAAAAACGAACTGAGCACATGTTGATACAGCTGTTACACGTAAACAAATAGTATTGAGTGAAACCACAGTGATGAAACAATTATTTACTTATCTTTTTTATTTGATTATTTATTTATTCAAAAATAATAAATCGAGAGAAATCCATCGCCGCAGCTGAGAGAAGTGCTGAGGTCAACCAAATAAGACTGAATATAACGAAAAAGGTGAAAAATTAATATAAAATATTTCCTAGCGAACCATGGTGCTTCCAGTCTTCAGAATTATTAAATTCTTTAAAAGAATAAACAAATATAAATTTCAACTTAATACAAATATCACAATGAAGAAATTACAATAAAACACATACATAGAATGACTAAAATACGTACAGTGCTGCCTCCACTCTTTCGCGTACATGACTAGGCGTGTTCCAACCATGACAATACATGGTGACGTTTAATTACCACTAAAAAGAACACCAATCATCCAAAATATGGTGGGCCACTCACACCAAGACGACACAACACAAAGCAAACAAGACAAACAACACAAACAAAAGAAACAAATCAAAAAATAAAATTGCCGACGACACTGTTGGCAACAGTAATATATGAATGTTAATAAAATAAACCTTATTATTTCCATTTAAATCTTCTCTTTGGACTTCTTTTCAGTTCGGCTGGTGGGCGGGACCAACAGCAGAGAGGGACGCGTCGAGGTTCGTCAGGGAAGCGGTAGCTGGGGCACTGTCTGTGATGACAGCTGGGGTGCCGACGACGCTACCGTGGTCTGCAGAATGCTGGGTTTTGGGTAAGTATGTCAAATATTGGTTTAACTGACACATTCCATTTCATACACATAGGTTAATCTGGTTGATGACGTTTGTTTACAGTGATGTATAATGAAAACAAGTGCGGATTATGAAATAACCCATTAGATGTAATGGTGTATCATGCGGAGAAACCCTAAAACTTGACAATTCTTTATCAACCAAAGTTGTTCTTTTATCATCCTTAAAAATTCCCGGAGTGTTTAACAAACCCCGTGTTTTATAATCAGATCATGGCCGACTAATTTGATGAAGGGTAGGCATTCCTTGCTAAGACTAAAAACTGTGTGATTATGGCACCTGAAGGACAATTTTCCGGCCAATATTATCTATATGTGCATATATTGAAAATAAAAAAGAAAAAATGAATTGAATTTTACTCGCGGCGATCGTACCCCCCTCCCCCCTGCGGCGCCATTGGCGATACCCACCCCCCAAACACCAGACATTACAGGTGGGGCCATTTGTCATCCACAGGCCATGGCTTCATTCAAATCATCAGTGAAGTTTGTATATAAGAGTACTGGTATGTTAGTGAAGCTCTCCGGTGTGTGTGCGTGTTCGTGTGCGCGTGCGCGTGTTTGTGCATGTGTGTAGAAGATGAACATTGTTAACGATGGGTCATGATTGTCACTGTAGCACCGGCACAGTCACCGCATTCAGTAGAGCTACGTTTGGCCAAGGTACTGGTTCCATTTACATGGACGACGTGGCTTGTACTGGCAGTGAAGGCTCTTTGGAAGAATGTTCCTACAGAGGTTGGGAATCGCACAACTGTGGACACTCGGAAGATGCCGGTGTTCGGTGCAGCACTCGTAAGTTTGTACCTGAAAGTAATGATTTAGAAGATATTAAAATACCTGTCGCTTAGGTCATAGAAATTACACATGTATATGCCATTGTGTTGCGAGTAAATTTCAGTTAAAGGGAGGATAACTGTTCGTTTTGGCAAAAAAATGAATTTTCCTGGAGTAAACAACAATTTTCCCATACTTACCAATGGTTTGTCAATCCATTTCTACATTGAAAGTTAATCCCTTTTTTATTTATTTTTTCATTTGTAAAGAGATTTTTAAGAGATTATTACAGAGTATAGCCATCACGTGGTCGGATGACAAGCCCAGATATCAGTTTTTGTGGTAAAACAGAATATATTATATTTCTGTGAGTTGTTGACATTGTTTTTAATATGAAATAAAGACCTCATGCAAAGAGTTATTAACCCTTTAAGTCTAGTGCAGAGGCGGGAGTCGTATCTCACCTCAGTGCAGTGGAATACAGTATGTATACCATCATGTTGCTATACATGTAAAATTACCTCTGTCCTATCCCTTAGTGTAAGGTCTGCTAAACATGGAATTGTAACACATGTTCAAACAGCACATCTATTGTATTAATAATAAGTTTAATATTTAGAGAAATATGATAACCAATATAGCATACGTGTATTTGACGCTATAGTAAGTTCATGTACACTAAGTTCCATAAATGATTATGAAATGATAATTTGTTCCTTTTAAGGTTTAAACCTTCGAAATGAAATTTCTTATTGAAATTAATATTGTTGGTTAATTTGATTCAAGGATTTTTGGGTTTTAAATCGCCTGTTAATTTTACTCTACTAGTAGTGAAAATAGAGAACAAAACATTCATTTTTTGCACATTATGATGAATTTAGTATTTTATTAATTCATCGGTTTTATAAGACGACCAAACATTACTCTATCATAACACTGTGCTAAATCAAATGTAGGTTAAAAAAGAGAAACAATATTTGCAGACATCTGCTTTTAAGAAATGTTTTGATCTATGTAATTGTATTTACTGTAATCTACTTAGTAGGTATATTTAGATATTTACAGAATGTATTTTAAATGGAAATTAAAACTGTGGTGACATAATGAGTTTATCGTGCAATGTTTGATGAGATAATATATGAAATGAGAAGTCAATTGAACGAAAATAATAAATAATCGTAAGCAACTTTTACTAGCTGCTGAAGTAAGATTGATGGGTGGTACTCATGACGGTGAGGGAAGAGTTGAGGTCCTCCATAACGGCGAATGGGGCACTGTCTGTGATGACAGCTGGGGTGACAACGATGCCCAGGTGGTCTGCAGAATGCTTGGTTTCTCGTAAGTATTGTTTCAATTCTTTATAGATATCAGGGTCATAATATTGATCTGAAAATTAAAAATGTAGTTGTCCTATTTCAACATTATCTGATATTTGAACATATGTTTAAAGTGTTTACCTTCTAATTGCTCATTTAGATCTTCTGGCGCCACTGCCCATGGTACTGCCCATTTCGGGCGAGGTACTGGCTCCATCCACATGGACAACGTGAACTGCAATGGGAACGAGGCCTCTATTGAAGACTGCAGCCACAACGGTTGGGGAACTCACAACTGTGGACATCATGAAGATGCCGGTGTCACATGCACCTTTGATGAACCAGGTATGATAAACCCTCTGCGAAGGAGTTGATGTATTTCTGTAATCTACTTAGTAGTATTTGGGTATTTACAGAATGTATTCTAAATGGAAATTAAAACTGTGGTGACATAAGAAGTTTATCGTGCAATGTTTGATGAGATAACATCTGAAATAATTAGCCAATTGAACGAAAATAATAAATAATCGTAAGCAACTTTAACTAGCTGCTGAAGTAAGATTGGTGGGTGGTACTAATGACGGTGAGGGAAGAGTTGAGGTTCTCCATAACGGCGAATGGGGCACTGTCTGTGATGACAGCTGGGATGACAACGATGCCGCTGTGGTCTGCAGAATGCTTGGTTTCTCGTAAGTATTGTTTCAATTTTTTATAGATATCAGGGTCATAATAATATGTGAAAAATAGAAATGTAGTTGTCCTATTTCAACATTATCTGATATTTGAACCCATGTTTAAAGTGTTTACCTTCTAATTGCTCATTTAGATCTTCTGGCGCCACTGCTCATGGTACTGCCCATTTCGGCCGAGGTACTGGCTCCATCCACATGGACAACGTTAACTGCAATGGAAATGAGGCCTCTATTGAAGAATGCAGCCACAACGGTTGGGGAACTCACAACTGTGGACATCATGAAGATGCCGGTGTCAGATGCACCTCTGGTGAACCAGGTATGATAAACCCTCTTTAAGTAGATGTGTGCCACATTGGTAATGGAAGAAGTCATTTTATTATTCTATTTATATGTGATGCATTTTAATGATATGAATAGACAAAATCTGAATACCTATGAGGCATCTCATCTTATCAAATAAGATACATGTACTGATTTTCAGTTGAAGTAAGATTGGTGGGTGGCGATCATGACGGTGAGGGAAGAGTTGAGGTCCACCATAATGGCCGATGGGGCACTGTCTGTGATGACAGCTGGGATGACAACGATGCCCGGGTAGTCTGCAGAATGCTTGGTTACAGGTAAATATATATTTTAAAAGATATCATGTTTACTAAATAACTATTTAAGCCCATCACTTAACATTGGGCAGTTTCAAATAATGATAACAGCTAGGGTTGTCGTCACCGGCTAAACAAGCACCAACCTTAAAAGTTATTGGTTTGGTTTTTGGGACATTCTACCAACAGTACATATACCAATATTTGACTTCGACATTTGAACTTCCAGCCCCGACGACGCCGTTTCTTTTTCACGCGCTCATTTCGGTCAAGGTACTGATCCCATCCTTATGGATAATGTCGCCTGCTCTGGAAACGAGGCCTCTATCGAAGCTTGCGGACATAATGGTTGGAGCTCACACAACTGTGCTCACTCTGAGGATGCTGGTGTCAGTTGTGTAGCTGCTGAACCTACTCCTGCACTGCCTGGTGGGTTAAAGGACAGTTTTATTCTATAAGCTATTTAAAAAATCCCCTTTTTGAATCTAGATCCTTGACATCCTACACACGACTGTTATTATGAACTGAAATTTTTACGTGCATTTTCGCTGATTGTCATCCACATCCCCTTGCAGTTGAAGTAAGATTGGTGGGTGGTGATCGTGACGATGAAGGAAGAGTTGAGGTCCTCCATAACGGCGAATGGGGCACTGTTTGTGATGACAGCTGGGATGACAACGATGCTGCTGTTGTCTGCAGAATGCTGGGTTACGGGTAAGTATGTTAAATAACGACACTGACACTGTGCGTTCCACTTCATACACATATAGGTTAATCTGGTTGATGACATTTTTTAATACTAATAGTGATGGATAATGAAAACTGGTGCGAGTTGTGAAGTAGCCTATTTTATGTAATGATGTATCTTGCAAGGAAATTATATACCTTGAAACTTGTCCTTTCTTCATCAACCGAAGATGATTCAATCACCTTTAAGAATTTCACGTGCTTTAAAATCTGAATATTGATTTGCTAATTTGGAGAGTGGTACAGTTTAGGCATTCAGTGCTAAAACTAAAAACTGTAATGATGGTACCCGGCGGACATTTATTCAGCAACCATTGTCCATTTATGCATAAATTAAGAAAATAAAAAACTGAATTTACTAACGGCGGTTGACACAGCCGACGTTGTACCCTTTTCTCCTCCTCGGCGTCATTGGCGACATGTGCCCCCCACCCCCTCTCGAAAACCATAAGTAGGGCAGTTTGTCATCCCAAGGTCTTCATTCAAAGCATGTTAGTGAAACTTTATACACCGAAGCAGAGTATCTTAGTGACCTCTCTGTTGTGTGTACTTGTTCGTGTGTGCGTGCGTGCGTTTGTGTGTGTGTATATTTGAAGATGAACATTGTTAACGATAGATCGTGATTGTCACTGTAGCACCGCCGACGCCACTGCATTGAGTAGGGCTGCGTTTGGCCGAGGTACTGGCTCCATCCACATGGACAACGTTAACTGCAATGGAAATGAGGCCTCTATTGATGACTGCAGCCACAACGGTTGGGGAACTCACAACTGTGGACATCATGAAGATGCCGGTGTCAGATGCACCTCTAATACACCAACAACACCCTCGCCAGGTATGATAAACCCACCCCTTAAGAAGTTGCGATCTTGGTATTGGTAATATGTACGTTTATTTTAATCTTTTTAAATGTGGAACATTTTAATGATATGAATAGACCAAATCTGAACACCAGTAAGGCATCTCATCTTATCAAATAAGATACATGTACTGATTTTCAGTTGAAGTAAGATTGGTGGGTGGCGATCATGACGGTGAGGGAAGAGTTGAGGTCCACCATAATGGCCGATGGGGCACTGTCTGTGATGACAGCTGGGATGACAACGATGCCCGGGTAGTCTGCAGAATGCTTGGTTACAGGTAAATATATATTTTAAAAAATATAATGTTTACTAAACAACTATTTAAGCCCATCACTTAGCATTGGGCAGTTTCAAATAATGATAAGAGCTAGGGTTGTCCTCACCGGCTAAACAAGCACCAACCTTTAAAGTTATTGGTTTGGTTTTTGGGACATTCTACCAACAGTACATATACCAATGTTTGACTTCGACATTTAAACTTCCAGCCCCGACGACGCCGTTTCTTTTTCACGCGCTCATTTCGGTCAAGGTACTGATCCCATCCTTATGGATAATGTCGCCTGCTCTGGAAACGAGGCCTCTATCGAAGCTTGCGGACATAACGGTTGGAGTTCACACAACTGTGCTCACTCTGAGGATGCTGGTGTCAGTTGTGTAGCTGCTGAACCTACTCCTTCACTGCCTGGTGGGTTAAAAGACAGTTTCATTCTATAAGCTATTTAAAAGGTCCCCTTTTTGAATCTATATCGTTGACATCCTACACACGTCTGTTATTCTGAACTGAAATGATAATTGTTTACGTGCATTGTCCCTGATTGTCATCCACATCCCCTTGCAGTTGAAGTAAGATTGGTGGGTGGTGAACGAGACGGTGAGGGAAGAGTTGAGGTCTTCCATAATGGCCGATGGGGCACTGTCTGTGATGACAGCTGGGATGACAACGATGCCGCTGTTGTCTGCAGAATGCTTGGTTACAAGTAAATATACGGTTCATTTTAAACAGCACTATATTTTCTTGGTATCTTTTAAAGTACATATCGTCATGTGGCAAATTCAAATGATGATAACAATTAAAGTAAATCGTCATCGTTTGTGGCAAGCTTACAAGTTTTGGTTTTGCTTTAGGAAATTTCTACCAGTAGTAACATTATTTAACTTAAAAATTTTAAATTCCAGCCCTGACGACGCCGTGTCCTTTTCCCGCGCTCATTTCGGTCAAGGCACTGATCCCATTCTTATGGATAATGTTGCCTGCTCTGGAAACGAGGCCTCTATCGAAGCTTGCGGACATAACGGTTGGAGCTCACACAACTGTGCTCACTCTGAGGATGCTGGTGTCAGATGCTTTGTTCCAGAACCCACTACAACAGCTCCAACAACTCCAGCTGGACCAGGCATGTATTAAATAAAAATGTATTTCGTGCTTTTTCAATCTCTTGCACATTTGAACTTCTGAATATGTAATGAAATTTTATGTCATAGGGTAAGTTTTTAAATTAAAATTCAAACTTTTATATTTCTGTAAACATGGTGATTTAAAAACGCACATTTGATGTATTTTATTTAGACGTGTATACAAACAAGTTATTAGGTATATACCGGTAAAAAACTAATCGTCGGCCACATTGTTTTGCAGTTGAAGTAAGATTGGTGGATGGTGAACGTGACGGTGAGGGAAGAGTTGAGGTCCTCCATAACGGCGAATGGGGCACTGTCTGTGATGACAGCTGGGATGTCAACGATGCCCAGGTGGTCTGCCGAATGCTTGGTTACGAGTAGGTGTTGCGTCCTTTCTTTTTTTAACGGCACGTCCTAACATATATTGCTCTTAAAAAAAGGAAAAGAAAAATATAGTTATCCAGAGTCACCTTAAATGTAACTCTTTCGGTAACCAGCTCTGTCGCCAGTAGTCTTGGTGTACTCAGTACACATTTTTAGGCCAAACTTAGATGAACATTATAGAACTTTCTATCGTTTTGTAGGATACACTATGGTAAATAACATATACCAGAGCGTCCGTCCAACGACTGGGTCACATGTTGAAATAGAAGTGAACAAATAGAATAGAATTTACAGTAATTGATTATTAAATGTATCAAAATAACCTAACGACACACTGTAATAATGATTTGAATTTTTAAACATATGGTTTTATCAATTGGAAACAATATCATGATATTTGCATGTGTACAAATTGTTGGTAGCACATTTCCAAAACCATTCCAGTCCCGCTAATGCAGTTGCATTTAGTAATGCTGAACATGGTCAAGGAAGTGGTGGAATCCATATGGATAACGTTAACTGCGATGGAAGTGAAGCCTCTATCGAAGACTGTGGTCACAACGGTTGGAGATCACACAACTGTGGACATCACGAAGATGCCAGTGTCAGATGCTACTTTGTTGAACCAACAACACCAGCACCAAGTATGATAAACCCACTGTTATAGATTTAAATTGATAAGTGTAACATTAGTATTGGCCTTTTATCATGTATACAATTATGTGGTGATGTTATTAGATTGGAAGTGCAGCCCTCTATCATCAGCTGTGAATTGCGACTTTTTACAATTTTACTCGTATTTTTTATTCTTTTCCGCGTAACCTTAAAAAATATTTTGTTCACGTTCCTGAGAGAAAAGGGCTACAAATCGATTTACACTGGTACGTGTACATGTAAGACTTTTAGTGGTAACACATTAAAAGATCGTTAATGAGGAGGAATATTTCGTTTGAGCAAATGTCTTTTGGCCACTTACTAGGTTTAATGAAAATATACAGCAGTAATGAGATAAATATGTTAAACTTCCGATATTTATTGACACGTATTGATCATACCTACATTTCAGTCGCTGTCCGATTGGTCGAAGGTGCCATTGAGGGTGAAGGTCGAGTTGAAGTACGTCAGGGTGAAGGCGAATGGGGCACTGTCTGTGATGACAGCTGGGATGACAACGATGCCGCTGTGGTCTGCAGAATGCTCGGTTTCAGGTTAGTATGCAGTACGGGTGTAGGTTCTGAAAACTACACGCAAGTGCTGTTTTGTATCTTTAAAATGTTTAGTCTTATTAATCTGTGGCTCCTTGATTAATATATGACGATGTTCGCAAGCTTAATTGGGTTAAGCAAAATAAGATGGAAATTATGTCGTTAAATCAAGTGTGATCAAGCATTCTAGTTTGAGTTTAAATAAAACGCGTCTTCTATTTTGTAGCGATAGTGAAGCCACCGCATTTAGTAGAGCTGCCTTTGGCCAAGGTACTGGTTCCATTTACATGGACGACGTAGCTTGTACTGGCAGTGAAAGTACTCTGGAAGAATGTTCCTACAGAGGCTGGGAATCGCACAACTGTGGACACTCGGAAGATGCCGGTGTCAGTTGTGTAGCTGCAGGGCCTGGTGAGTGTTCTCTTTAATATATTTTTTACGATATGTATATATCGTTAAATTGAATGTTCAAACGTGACTTTCAGTGACAATATTTTACTTGGATATGATTATTTCTATTCACAACTGATGTTAATTATTAAAATGATGGTCACAAATTGCAAATGAACAAAATTTACTGATAAAGAAAATAATAGTAATTATAGTAACAATGCTCAAAGAAACTTTCTTTAATCTGGCAATGGTCTCTGAAATACTTGATAGTTGATTTTAAGCCGCAGTCTGTTTTACTTTCATGTATGGACTTTAAAACAGAAAACACCGTTAACGTTGCTGATTTTTATTTCAACACATATTCATTTTCAGTTGAAGTAAGATTGGTGGGCGGTGAACGTGACGGTGAGGGAAGAGTTGAGGTCCTCCATAACGGCGAATGGGGCACTGTCTGTGATGACAGCTGGGATGTCAACGATGCCCAGGTGGTCTGCAGAATGCTTGGTTACGAGTAAGTGCTGTGTCCCTCCTTATATTTTAAACGCCACGCCGTTACAGACATTGTGTGATCTGTAAAAAAATAAGGAAACCGCCAATGTTACTATTTTGGTAGTCAGTTCTGCCAACAGGCCCCATGTCCGTTTCAAAAAAAAAAAAAAAAAAAAAAAAGAAAAAAAAGGGTAAAAAAAACTTAAAGCAGTCCCCTGGCTTAGTTGACTAGGATTTTTATGAGAGCGCTGTTACACTACTCCTGATAGAGTAAGACTTACCCATGTGATCATGTAACATTGGTATCTAATTTCTTTAGCCAGGGAACCTGACTTAATTATTCATTGAATTTAATTTAATTTAATTTTATTTTATTTGAAACCGAGACCAGTACTGTCTTGGTCAATACACATTTTAGGTTAAAATTGATTGAACATTATTTAAATTAATTTGGTGTTTGTGGGGATACACTATGGAGTATGACATCTACCAAAACGTCCATCCAACGATTGGGTCACATATTGAAATAGAAGTGAACAAATAAAATAGAATATACAATAATAGGTGTATTCGCAAAAAAAAAAAAAAAAAAAAAAAAATATATATATATATATATATATATATATATATATATATATATATATATATATATATATTATTGTTGGCATATATATAATGATTTGAATTCTTTAACATTTAGTTTTATCAATTTGAACAGGTACAATTTGTTTGTAGCACAATTCCATGACCATTTCAGTCCCGCTAATGCAGTTGCATTTAGTAATGCCGAACATGGTCAAGGAAGTGGTAGAATCCACATGGATAACGTGAACTGCGATGGAAGTGAAGCTTCTATCGAAGACTGCGGTCACAACGGTTGGAGATTACACAACTGTGGACATCACGAAGATGCCGGTGTCAGATGCTACTTTGTTGAGCCAACAACCCCAGCGCCAAGTATGAAATACCCACCGTTATGGACTTGAATTGATAAATGTGTAGTGGTCTTTTATCATTTATATGATTACGAGATGATAATATCGTATTGGAAGTGCCGCTCTCTATGATCAACTTTGAATTGCGTGTTTTGAATTATTCTTCTCCTTATAACCTCAAAGGGATTTTGTATAAGTTTCTGATTAAAAGGGGTATTCATCTATTTACGTCGGTAAGGTTTTGATTGGCACTCTGGGCAATTTTTTTAGCTTTAATCAAAATAAAACAGCACTCATATGAACATGTCAGACTTCCGTTACTAACTGAACATTATTGAACACAACTTCATTTCAGTCGCTGTCCGACTGGTCGGAGGCGCCAATGAGGGTGAAGGTCGAGTTGAAGTACGTCAGGGTGCCGGCGAATGGGGCACCGTCTGTGATGACAGCTGGGATGACAACGATGCCGCTGTTGTCTGCAGAATGCTTGGTTACGGGTGTGTATATACGTTCTAAAAGCTACACTAAAGTGCTGTTTTGTACCTTTACAAAATTTTGTCATAAAAATCTGTGGCTCCTCAATTTGTATATGATGGCGTTTGCAGGCTTGTGTAAAGCAAAATTGGATGTAAATAATAATAAAAAATTAAACGAAGTTTCAATAAAACGTGATTGCTATTTTGTAGCGACGGCGACGCCACTGCCTTCAGTAGAGCTACGTATGGCCAAGGCACCGGTTCCATTTACATGGACGACGTGGCTTGTACTGGCAGTGAAGGTACTTTGGAAGAATGCTCTCACAGAGGTTGGGAATCACACAACTGTGCTCACTCGGAAGATGCCGGTGTCAGTTGTGTAGCCGAGGAACCCGAGACAACACCGTCAACAACTCCTGGAGTACCTGGTAAGTGGAACTTAATGTCACGCAATGTGTGTTTTACCTTGATTTAACAAAAAACTTAATTTTCCTGTATATATTTTGCTTTTGTTAGTTTTTTTCATTTACATGATTACAATTCATGAAACTCTTTTGGGGTACTACGATTGTCAAATTTAAGTCACGATTGCGATGGAAGGAGAATGATGGAAATCTACTAGTGGCTGTAAAAGTTAGAAATATAAAAATAACAAAAACTTGTAACCTGTAAATAGTGATTTTCTTAACGGTTCTATAAAGCAAAGTTATGGTATTGACATTTAAGATATGTTTAAATGATGTTTTCTATTGCGACAAATCAAACCCTTGATCATCTATAATGAGACAATGCATATAAATGGTAACAAGAAGTATTCAACAAATATCAGTTTCAGTTCGACTTGTCGATGGTCGTCACCAAGGAGAGGGACGCATTGAGGTGCAGCGAGGAGGTAGTGGCTGGCACAGCGTTTGTGACGATGGATTCGGTGACGAAGAGGCAGCAGTTCTTTGCAGAGTTTTGGGATATGCGTACGTGGGTTTTTAACATTCAACTACATGTACATTAGATAATGCGTATTATTGTAAAAAAAGTTATTCGTTATTGTGTTATTATCAATGAGATGTGGCGTTTCGACCCTCTTAGTAATTCCCTACGAGAAAAAACACATTTGCTCCTCGGAAAACATACCTCTTTACTGCCTTCATACAAAATTTAAAGCACATAAAATTGGACAAGAGCGAGGGAGCAAGAGTGTGAGACATATGTAGTTTCTGATCTGGTTGAGGGTTGATGAATCGAAAGACAAAGGTTTAACTTCATTTCAGTGGTGTTTCAACCAAACGTTACATTATTTAAATTAAAGTTATTCACTATAATGTATTTTCATTTTCTAAACTATTGGCTCATGGTATCTGCAGTTGCATAAAAACTTGTAAGCTTGGTTTTATAATCGATAGAGNTGACACTTCTTTTGTCCAGTGTGTGTATGTTTAAATGATGTTTTCTATTGCGACAAATCAAACCCTTGATCATCTATAATGAGACAATGCATATAAATGGTAACAAGAAGTATTCAACAAATATCAGTTTCAGTTCGACTGGTCGATGGTCGTCACCAAGGAGAGGGACGCATTGAGGTGCAGCGAGGAGGTAGTGGCTGGCACAGCGTTTGTGACGATGGATTCGGTGACGAAGAGGCAGCAGTTCTTTGCAGAGTTTTGGGATATGCGTACGTGGGTTTTTAACATTCAACTACATGTACATTAGATAATGCGTATTATTGTAAAAAAAGTTATTCGTTTCTTAATTATTGTGTTATTATCAATGAGATGTGGCATTTCGACCCTCTTAGTAATTTCCTACGAGAAAAACACATTTGTTCCTCGGAAAATATACCTCTTTACTGCCTTCATACAAAATTTAAAGCACATAAAATTGGACAAGAGCGAGGGAGCAAGAGTGTGAGACATATGTGGTTTCTGATCTGGTTAAGGGTTGATGAATCCAAAGACAAAGGTTTAACCTCGTTTCAGTGGTGTTTCAACCAAACGTTACATTATTTAAATTAAAGTTATTCACTATAATGTATTTTCATTTTCTAAACTATTGGCTCATGGTATCTGCAGTTGCATAAAAACTTGTAAGCTTGGTTTTATAATCGATAGAGAGCAATTGAACAACTAATATAACGTACCATTTTAGCTATTCCGGCGCTGTGGGACTTCAACGCTCCTATTTTGGCAAAGGCAACGTGTCCGTCGCTCCATATAAATTCTACTGCAATGGCCTAGAGAATTCACCCCTTGAATGTGTTAGAGAAGTTCTGGATGACGAAGCTGCTTGCGACCGCTATCACACTGCAGGTGTGAAGTGTATGGAAAAATCTGGACCGTACGAAGGTGCGATACATGTAGTTCCTTTATGCTATTCCTGCATCATGTTTCCTAAACGAAAGAAGTTATGTTTTAATACATTCTTCTACTTTTAAAAATGTTCTTCTTTACAAGTATTTGTATAGGCATATGACCTTGGGGTGCTGTGAAGATTAACAAAATAAAAATATATCTGTCTTGCAAAACACCAGTGTCGATTTTTACGATTCTTTCTTTCTTTAAAAACAGGCTGTATTATTTAGACAGTACGTGACGTAGATATCGGCCGTATTATCAAACGTGGTATTTGAAATATCGCAACCATTTATATTGCTTCCGTTATAGTGCGCCTGGTTAAAGATGGCGTTGAAAACAGTGAAGAGGGCCGCGTGGAGGTGAGGAACAGAGAGGACGGCAGTTGGGGAACTATCTGTAGTGACGGCTTTGATGACCGCAGCGCCGCAGTGGTCTGCAGGATGCTCGGGGACAGGTGAGTGTAATAAAAAAGTATACTTTTGTTGTGGATTGTCTTGAATGAACGTAACCACGTGAGAAAACGCGGGAACTTGAGGGTGGTTCGGTATGTAAATAGGGTATTGGGAGAGTCCACTATCTTTCTGATAAATTGATAAATTGCGACAAACTTTATTTTTATTTAACATGCATGACAGTTAGTTTTATGATTAACTTATTTCATTTAAATAATATGACATACAAAGACCTGATGTGCGAGATGAAATCTACAAAAAATCACCGATTAGGCTTTATTTCTCTGTTTATCTATTTGTAAGTGTTTTTACTTCCGCCGAGAAGGTAACTTTTTGGGGTTCTGTTTGTCTCTTTGCCTGTTTGGCTCTAAGCAACATGCAAAAAGTAATGGGCGGATATTGATGACATATCCAATAGCATTCGGCAGGGGAACAAGTAACAAACGATTACTATTTGATAGTCATCCATTGGTTAAACAATCAATCAGTCAGTTAATAAAGAGTGTCTGTTAGCAACATTTTGTGAAAAGGGGGATTTTGATGATATTTTCAGGATTGGTCAGAAATTGACTGGATTTGGTGGTTATTAATTTATTAATCGATAATAAAAATAAAGCTCTCTTGGCGGAGGTTTGCAATTTCTGAGTGTAATTCTAGTTTTATACTTCTGTTTCTGACCGTCTTTTATATAATTTGAAAACGATTTTCTGTTTCAATATTATAAATATATTTTAATGGTTTCAAAAGCTGCAAGGACACATTTTCACTTTAGATTCCTTTTTCTTCCAGCGGAGACACGGCCACCGCATTGGTTGACGGTGAAGTCACTCCAGGCAGTGGCGCCATCTTCCTTGATGACGTATCTTGCCGCGGAGACGAGCTTTCTTTGGATCAGTGCTACAGCCGCCCATGGACCGTTCACAACTGCCGCCACGAACAAGACGCCGGAGTGAGATGTATACCTTTCGAAGGTAGGAGTTTATCTATTTAAACAGCTTACAAGAGGCCAAGATCTACATATACAGGTAACGGACATACGCTGCGTTTATTGCCACAATGTATTTGAGCCCATGCAGTGCTGCTCTAGTCGAAAAGAGTTTGTTTAAGCAACGACCTTGAATCCATCACTGGGTATGGAGGTTGGGGTTTAGTATAGTAATATCCTTGCCGTTGTCGATGGTTTTGAGTACGGCCCCAAGGATGCCAAAGAGAAAAGGTTGGAATGGTTAATAAAAGGGAAAATAAAATAAAAAAGTGGAAAAAATAAATTCAGCTCCTGAGCGTCTATGGGCATACAATGTACCCATCCCTCTCTCGAATATCTCCCTGGAGTCACATTCGTAGTTATATATACTGGATATTACCGGCATATGCATGGGACTTTCGAACCTCTTCTGTATGAGTACCCTAGTTAATAATCAGCTGTTTTCTTACAGCATTCAAGTCACCGATAGCAAATGTTCTATTTATTAACCTGTTCTAACGAAAATGACATTTCAGTTCCATCATTGCTCACTGATCAGCAGTGGATTGCTATATTATTGCTTCATTAAACATTCACCAAAAAGGCAATTTATGATAACTTAGATAAGTTAATGATAGCACATAATCATCCATCTTTTGATATGATATATAGCATCTGATTTTTTGCGCTCCCGATGTTAACTCCCGAATTCCAGGCGTTTCTTGACAGTCCTACCCTAGGATCTAGATTTCGGTTTTGCCAGCTCGATCTTGATTTCATATATAACCCATATCAGCAAAACTGTTGAAGCTATTCCATGAGAACGTTTGAATAGTTAGCAAGCTAGCTTCACAGCGGCCCTGACACTGAGGGCAGACAGTCCAGGCGTCTGTCAATTGCGCAAGAACCATCTCAATTAATTACATTGAAATCGCTGTGCACAATGTACGGGTGTATGTGTAAATGCAAATAAAGAGCAGACGAGTATAATTAACACACGTGGAAGTCAACAAACAATTTCACTGCTTCATTGCCGTTTTTATATCCAAAATAAGATACCAACACATTTGACAAAATTTTCAAACCCCCTGTTCTATTGGGCATGCCTTGGTGATGAAGGAATATTTGGCCATTTAAAGGCATTATATGCACATGATGCCTATATACCTCGTAGCGTTTTATTAATACTTGTGCTTGCTGCCCGAGGTCAGGTTAAGTGCAGCCTCATACCTCCCATCGGCCCTTCTTAAAGCTTTTTTTACGATCTTGACGGCTGTATTTAACATTGTAGATGACCCTTGTGAAGCCCTTGGCTGCGGTGAGCACGAGGAGTGTGTCTTGGGAGATACTGGCGCCACCTGTGAGTGTGTCGAGGGATACCAGAGAAACGACGGCACTTGCGAAGGTGAGTTCCGTGGAGAGAGAGAGAATTCGTGTTTGTGTGTGAAAAAAATTAAGTCCGATCTAATTGGCGGTTCTGCCAGCAGTATCAACTTACCTTTATGAACAGAATTCATGCTGTTTATCGTACAATTAAAATTTTACACAATTTTGACAATTTTTTCAGACGTCGACGAATGTGCCAACAGCCCATGTGACTTCAATGCCGCCTGTGTGAACACAGTAGGAGGATTTAACTGTACTTGTAACGACGGCTATAGAGGAGATGGGCTCATCTGTGCACGTAAGTGTGACGTCAGAGCATCTTGACGTGACGTATATGATATGACGCAGTACGCAATTTTCACTGTTACTTCTGAAGTGAATGGCTGAGTATTTTGTTGGTTGGAGGAAATACATGTTTTGAAAGGGATACAAAAATCTAATTTTGCTTTCTACTGAAGTTACCATGTAGATTAACTAGTATTACATGTACATTTACTGCAGCAGCGGCGTTTAGTATATTACCATTTGCAAGTTTACCCTAAAACTAAAGAGACAACACTTATGAATATGCGTCACGATTAACAGACCTTATTTTCATTCCTTGCTCAACTAATCAGTATGCTTGTACAAGTATGAATGATACGGTATTAATTACCCTACTTCAGCGCTCCCGTGCACCATCGATGTTTGTTACAACAGGCGATTGCAAGAGACCTGTGAAAACCTGGACAACGGCGCGCACCGATGCGTCGTGGAGTTGACGTGCGCCACTAAGTGGACGCAGTCGTGCAAGAAGGCACTGTCAAAGGCTGAGTGCAGGTAATACGATGATCTTAGATCGAGCGAAAGGGGGAGTGGAGCAGGCCACGAGCCACCGACCCCCATGACTTTTTGTTGCCTCCCCTCCCTCCCCCGTTCTCTCTAAAATATTATAAGACTAAATGGATAATGAATAAAAATAAATAAATAAATAAATATTTTCAGAACTCCGATACATTTGTTTTCGACATGTATGACCACATTTGGAAATGTTTTTCTGAATAAGTAACTTAAATTTTGGGTCTTAAATTTGAAATCACCAATAGGAATGAAATCCTTTTGCGAAACGTACCTCAGTCCTTTGCACAAGTCAATATTAAGGCGACGTTGAAATACTTAACGAAGCTATATATATATTTGACTTAACTTCATGTACTGCCCTTTCAGCGTTCGTTGCCCGGCTGGATGTTCCTCTTCCAACGGGAAAGTTTTCACTGATGGCCAAAACTATGCAGCAGTAAGTGACACACATCACGCGTAGGGTCTTGATACTGTATGCAGCAATGATTTCATTTTTTATACGGAATTTTGGCTTGTTTCTTCTAAGGCAAACTGCTAAGCTTAAATGATCTCCATTGGTCAAAATAGGTTTTTATGACACACTGTCCTCAGCTGATATTCGGAATAAGAATACATCTGTTTTTTTGATATGGAAACTCTTTTTTTCCCCTATTCACCGGTTGACTGATTAGAAAAAAAAATAAGGCTTGATATTGTCGTTTTTATCATTTTTGAAATTTCCTTTATATTAATTAATTTCTTTTTGCAGCCTTCTTCCGTGTGTCTGTCGGCTATCCATTCAGGCGTTGACCCTGCGGCTGAAGGTGGCTTGTTTACCATTCGCCATACCCGGGTAGAAGACGCCCACGAATACCCCTCCACTACCAGTAATGGAATCAAGAGCAAGCTGTAAGAAAGCCCCTTGTCTACAATTAATTCCTCTGAATAGCATGCATTTAAATTTTAAAAAACATTTTTTGTAGCTACATGTTTCTATTTATCTTTTCATTGCGCACTTACGTACACTTGCGACATTTCAAGACTGCGCTATGTGTCTGCTTGCTTATCATTGCATTTATCTTTGTGTTGAGTTGCACTGCTTATCATTACAAATATAAAAGCATGCTGGTAATGTATCTGAAAGTGCATTTAGCGCTTGATTCAAGCATGTGTAGTGATACACATGTGCACGACTGTCAATTATCATCATATTCGTCTTCAAAAGTAAAATCTGGTTTCCTTTTTATCTAATGTCAAAACATTTTTTAAAATGTTTTAAAATTAATACACTGTCTCTTTTCAGTAAACGTACCTACAGAGGAGATGCTTTCGTCGTCGCCTAAATCGCCCGAGGTACAGACGTAACGGACACGGCACCAAATGTTTTACGATTAAGTACAAAAGGACTTGCGCAAGGACACTTAAACATTTCCGCGGGTTAGGACTTAGATTTATGCTCTGCATTGGGTCCTTCGTGGTTTCTACCAGAAATGTAGTCACTGGCTTTGTAAGTAAATGTTTTCACTGGCGCCTAAGGACTATAATGGTTCTGGTATAGTAGACAACTTTACAACGGTTCTTAGAGTCTTCAGCATCGATAACATTTAATAATTTCATTTATGTTTAATACTTTCTAAAATGGAAGATATGGGAAATGACTATAATATAGCGGCACTTGCTGTGATGCATTGAAGCAATCCACATTTAACAGGAATCCTTTAATTCGGTTGTTATTATATATTATCTATTATTGTATTATTATATATTCTAAATGGTGTTTACAACTTATGAGGTGGTGTGTAATTTAACGTCATTTCCGTGTAACAGGGGTTTTTGACTTCATGGAACTATCTTTAAATGTTGAGGCTATTAAATTTCACTTTTTGTCAGCTTATGAAATGTTACTTCGGCACTAATAAACTTTGCTTGAGCAAGAACGAGAGTTTTGCGTTGGCATTTGCATAACAAAGCGGGATACGGGGCACACACCCCAATAACACCTACCGTATAATGAAAATAAAGCGCGTTTATATGTGGAGAATATTAAAAAAAGAATGTACGAGAGAGAGAGAGAGAGAGATGTGGCTGGAAATGGCAAATTGCAGCATCCATATATCTTAAAAAAAGATCAACACATCTTTTCTTTGCAACCCATATATTTCTTTTCTCAGCACTCGTGTTTCTAAACATATACACATAAACATATATATGTGTAAATAACCATATAGCCCAGAATACCCTAAATTCAAGATGAACGTGCAGCCACACATATAAACTAAAAGTAAATTCACTTCGAAATGTTTACAGCTGAATCCTAAGGATCCCATTCCAATGCTTTGTATTCTCGATATCCTAACTTCGCTTGATTATCACAGATATATAGATAACTAAGTAGTAAACTATGTCAACCCTTCACCGCTGCTTGGAAAATCACACAATTTATTTAGAAATGGAAAGCGTGGGGACTACGATTCGACCCCTAGAGTAACAGCACGACCCACCAGCACGATGCTTTAAGGGATAACAACTGTTCATTTTGGCAAAAAAAAAAAAAAAAAAAAAAAAAAAAAAATTCCTGAGGTATTCGAATACATTCCCGTACTTACCAATAGTTGATAAATTCATTCCGACATTCGAAGTTAGTCCCTGATGTTTTTGCTAAAACTTTATATTTGTAATAATCTCTTAAAGAGGGTGGCCATCTATGGAGGTTAAGTGGTCCGATGGCAAGCACAGATCCCAGAATAATTGCAATAACCGCCATTTTGCTGGTAAAATAGAATTTATTATTATATTCTGTAAGTTGTACTTATTGTGAAATATGAATCTCATACGAAGAGTTGTTATCCCTTTCACATCTGAGATTGAATAATATAAGTGGCCATAGCTGTTGGTGTTGCATGTGGAGATTCCCTCAACCTTTTTATTAAATACGGCCAGCGCTTGCATTCTGTTAAATCATTCCATTGTCACAGAGAAAAATAAGTGGAACAATAACGGTTTCTTATCACAGTGAAATAAAACGCAAACGGTTGCGATTTAGGATTCAAGTTGGACTTCTTGTCTGGAAACAATGAGTGCCATAAAAACAATTCGGTTCATAAATCATTGTCCTTGACTTGCGTGTGTCTTAAATCGGTAACCTTCACCTTAAATTACAAACGATCAGTTTTCCCGAAGAACGCATGCGCAGGACCACAGTGTTGCTCTGTCAATAACTGCTTCCATCGAAAATCCCCTATGTTTGCACGGCCACATCAAGAAAACTGAAAATTTGTTGAAATTAAAGGTAGTTAAACGCATCTACTTGTCCTCCTTCAAGCGGTTCACTTAGGTTTTAAAATAAATGAAAGCACTTCAGCTTTTTCTTCCACTTTTTCTTTGCTTTGGAGCCGTGTTCGGTACACTGATCGGAAAGGCTCTTCAAGACGGTGCAGGCCCCTAGGTTTGCCGTCGATTTCCCGTGCCCTATCCCCGAACAGTAAGCGTACTCACAGGCACCGATATAACCGCCATAGTTGATGCCATCTTCCTCCAGAACAGGGCGACAGCTCTTAAAACTTTTCTTCAGAGGTTTTCTGTTATCGAGATCGCACATCTTCTGAGCTTGTTGGAGCTGGTCGTCAGTACACGTGTTTGCAGTGTATGGACTGTTGGCTAAAGTCTCTTCGCATCTACGCAAAACACAAAAAGATAAACGATATAAAAAGAGACTAATATAACGGAAACCGGAAGTGTGAAAGAAAGTATATCATGTAATATATAAAATCACTGTATTGTCGTCATGTTGCTAATGACAAGTCCCAAAGCGGCGTTTCACCTCTTTTAATATGGTATTGGGCTTGTCCAATTATTGTTCATTTATGATTAAAACATGAAGTGTTACTAGAAACCACTTTGAATGTGGATGTATGGGTTGTGAGTTCTATAAACTGACAATGAAGAAGCACAACAATATTAACCAGAGGACATGTACTTACAGAAGCAGCCAATGTGAAATAGAATAAAACTAAATAAATTGAAATGAAATAAACGAAATGAACGAAACGAAATCAAATCATATTAAAATGAAATAAATTAAAATATAATAAAATAAAATGATATGAAATGAAACGAAATAAAATGAAATGAAATAAAATACAATAAAATGAAATAAAACAAAATAAAATAAAGTGGAAAGGATATAACTAAAAGATATTAATGGGAATAATATATAATATATGAAAAAGAATGTGATATAATAAACTATGTTATTAATAGTCCTGGTAAGAGACTCGGAGTAAACTGGCTTTTTGTAATCACTTCTTTCACTTCAAGATAGCTGCTTATCGTAAAAAAATCATATCAAGGTACACTCCCTGGATTTGAAAAGAGAAGTTTAAAACGTCGCCATTCATACAAAAAACACTGATCCTTTATTACATTAGGGTGTGGCGGTAATCGAATCATTGTTTTATTTACTTGTCATCCGTATTCGTACTTCGTTATTTTCGAAACCTCGGGAAGGACACGTTTATTACTGCCACTTACTCTTGCAGGTCCAGCTCGGGGTCATGCTGGTGAAGACTATCGGCTATAAGAGCGTCCCTGATGGGTTGACTCAGGTTCTCGACTATCGTGCCGTCCTTGGTGGCGTAGTCGTCGTGGGGGTTGTCATTCCAGTTCCCACAGAGGCCGCACAGTCCCGCGTTTTTATACCAAGGTGGGATGTCGGCGATGACGTCACCCCGCTCGTTGCGCGTGATGTCCAAGGTGACTTTAAAGCCCAAGTCAGTCATGAATACCAAGCGTTCCATGCCCCCCTCAGAGTGTTTGTTAACTATGATGCGCTTAGACTCGTAAGGGAGGTCGCCATCATGGATAACTTGCCCATCGACCTGAAGGATAGAAACAGCGTCATAGGCTCTCTCTCTCTCATCATTTTTAGCTTGAATAATCTGTTTTTTTTTTTTTTGTGTGTGGGGGGGG